TATTTATAAAGTATATATAAATACACACACACATGCATGTATATATTTAAGAAAAATATGTTACGTTTATGTATTAAATATATTTATATATAATATACATTTTATGAATATAAATACATACATGTAAATACATGTAAATATTTTCAAAATATATGCTGTATGTGTGTGTATTTATATATACATAATACATATACACACACATATACTATGTAAACAAACACTTTTATTTTGGAATGCGATTATATTTCATATATATATATATATATATATATATATATGAAAATGTTATATATTCAGATGTGGGGTGCCATTGAGCAGATTTTCTGAATTGTATAAAGAGCTGATTGGATGCTGGCCATGCAGTAATGCAGTAAGTTGGTCTGCTGCATCCTCCACAACACAACAGATCATCCTAACTTTTTTTTTGGCAGTGTTTGCACCGTTATCTGATTTACATAATTCATTTTCTGAATCAGGAGCTAAAACAACAGACAGCATGTGTAAATAAGTGACACTACGAGCGAGCGTAATTCCATTTTAGTGAATCCCCCGTGTGTTGTGTTGTGTGTACAGTACCTGTGGCCAGCTGCACATTAGCTTTGCACTTTTTCCTAGAACTTGTTTTTTTTTTTTGCATTTCCTACATTTATAGTTCTGAATGAAAATACGCTCACAGCACATGTGTGATGAAGGTGTGTGTGCGCTCACCTGTATGGCATTGGTGACATTCCAACCCGCCTCCCAAGTTGTGATTTTCGGCCGTGTGCTGTGAGCGCCGTCCTCACAGGAACTGTCTGAGCGAAATGCAGCCGGACTTTCAGGATTGGAAGCCTGAGAGTCACACCTGCAAACGTCTCCATACGTGTGAGCCAGCTCATCCCTCACCACCAGACCTTGGTTCTCCTCAGCACCCGCATGGAAGCATTTCATCCAGAGAGACTCCGCACAGGTCTTCACCCAAGAAAGCTGAAAATGTGACATTGCTCAGACACTGAATGTGGAAAGAGTGAACAGAACTGCTAGGCTTTCACACCTTTACCTCACATGAAGTGTCTCAATCCAGCCAAACTCACTGACATCCATCAGAAAAATCATACTGTCCGGTGTCAGTCTGAGCACTGCAAACGCATAACGGAGATCCGGGCCATTACACCTGTGAGGAAAAACTGGCTGTGCATGCATTTTAAATTGGGCTACAGCAACACAGAAGTGTGGAGGACTGACAGGCCGATGAACTGTAACATTATAATCACTTGAATATGTGTGTTTGTCTATGGATGTTTGTTTAGAAAATGTTTTGCTTTCCATTTTGTCAGAATGAGGACAGTCTGCTTTTGGTGAATACAGATGAGACCAAATGTGTGAGTCCAACACTAGAGGGTGCAGAGGAAGTCCAGAAACTCCAGAGCTCAGCTCTCATCCATACCTAACTCACCCCGAGGAAAAGAAAGGACATTTTATCCAGTGTTTTTGACTCACTCATACTGAGAACTGTAAATTAGACTGAATATACATAAAACACACGTTACAGTGTGTTATTCCTCCAAACACTGTCCCAACTAGCTTATCAGAGTCTCAGCAAACAACCTCATATGGAAAAGTTTTTTAAGCAAAAAAATATGATTTGAACTTTGCTGTTTGCTGATTATATTTTTGCTTTTTCGCTGTCTTCCCATCTCTGTTAGTTCCAGTTTGTGTGGTGATGTTTAATCTTTTCCTCACCCTTATGTCATTCTAAACCTCTATGGCTTTCTTTCATCTGTGGAACACAAAAGAAGATATTCTGAAGTACAGGTAACTCTTGCCCATAAAATAACAAGGAACTGGCATATACTTAATTATCATAAAAGGAGTGTATGCACATTGTTTTTACTACATTTCAAGTTTTGGTCTTTGGTAAGTCTATTCAATTGTTTATATATATATTGTATATTTATTTAATAAGATAAACTATTTTTGTAACACAAAACAATAAAAATGACCAAATATCAAACCATTGTTTTTTAACAAAATGTATAAATTTATTTGTTTTATATGAAGTTTTACAGACGTGTTACGTTTCGTATGGTTTAAATACCTGCATTGTGATTTTTATTTTAGCATCAAATTAATTTCATAAATAATAATAACTAACAAAATCTATGCCAGAATGGGTAACAGGGATGCAGATTTATCCAAAAGTGAGGTCAATTGTAGTTTGTCTAACATATCCAATATTTCTTGATAGTAAAATGATTTGAGCAACTTTTTTTTATTTTTTTTTTATGGAGTTGTAATTACAGAATGTTTCAGTATTTTACACAATTTCTGCAGGGAGAAGATGCTTTAAAGTTTTCCTACAGAGGAAATGTGATCTCGGGACACCCCCTCCTCAAAGCGCCCGGGATTGGAGGGCTGTGCCAGACGAGCGTCCCAAACTTCCTAAAGTCGCTCGTGGAGATTCTGACCGGTCCTGGACTGCGTCTGCTGTTCCTCCGAGCGCACACGAAGAAGAGGCAGATCGGGACATGAACAGACCGTGTTTTCTCGTGCTCATCGGGCTGCTGTGGCGGTGTTGTGGAGCTCAGCAGAGAGGTGAGTGTGTGTGTGTGTGTGTGTGTGTGTGTGTGAGAGGGAGCGCGCGCGCGCAGAGGAGAATGAGCACGCATTACGCGCTCTCCGAATTCATGCGGAGATTTACTCGCCTGAAATATAGACTGTATGTCATTTTTGTTTCCTAGTGAAATAAATGGCTTTGTTGTACTACGGTCCACTGCCACAATTCAAACGATGCCATATATGTTTTGAGTCTCCGAGACTTACTACAATATAACTAACAAGATAGCAACAACATTACTGCATCGACTCGACCCTGTTCATTGTTAAGTGGAACATAATTATTTTGTTCATTTTGATTTAAAATCTGTTTTTCATTGAGATCAACCATTTGCATGTCCCCATTATAGCAACACTATATTATGCCTTTGTCTCTGCACTTTCTGCTCAACCCTGTTACGTGACATTTTCCCATTAAAAATAGCAATTTTATAAGTATGACTTATTTTTTGAGGACATGACTCAAACAGAGATATTTTACTTTACTATCTTTGTTAGTATTTCATTACATTTATTCTTATGTTGGCTCGATAGTTCAACTCTGTTATAGAAAAAAAAATCATGGTGACATTTTTGTCTCAGCTCTAAGTCATAAGATTATTGACAGAGAATAATGTGGTGCAATGCAATTACCTAGTTGTTAGTCATTTGCACTGATCTTCAGCCCTGTTACATTGAAGCCACAAATGTCGTGTTATTCATTTTACTTTTATAATTACTTTTGTAATCTACTTTTATCATTATAATGTGTGATTGCAAGACAGCTAAACTGAGTGATGCTACCAGAATTCATGCTGTTATCTATTTCAATTATATACATTTCAATCTTACAGTATATACACTTCAGACTTTATTTTTTATTGTTTTCACAATCTGTTTTGCAGAAGATGCAATGTCCTTCAGTGAAAATAATGGTCAATATGTTGATGAAAGTTCTCACGCTCTCTAACCACTTACCCTCTCTTCTGACACATGAGCAGTGGTCTACTTTCAGCTTTCTAACGCAAGCTTTCTTTACTGAGAACCCTTGAATGAAATCAATTTGTGAGCATCAATGCAGGGACCGTGGAGTGGCCTTTTAATATCACGCTGCTTTAAATGCTTTGTTAAGATCCATAGTGTTTCATTTCTGAAAAAAAGAAGAAGAAAAAAGCCTGTGTGAAGCATCTTTCATCTTACATTTTTTACAGTTGCTGTTGAGTGTGTAAGTCGACTCACATGCCATTCTCTATATTCGAACACACTGGGGAATGTGTGTGATCACCACGTGTGTGTTTGTGTGTGTGGCAGCTAAAACCGGATGTTGGGAGTATTTTTAGAAAAGGTAGACCAGGAATAGTGGACTAAATGCAGAGTCAGTATTCTCTGGATGCACTGATTGATGAGACAGAAAGAGTTTGGAAATGTTAAGAAATGGAGGTGTTTCTCCATCCGCGCTGAAAAGACCAGCACAGCTGGCCACCACTACCCTGAGAAGATCGTCTGTTATTGTTTCCTACAGATCAATGGTAGTTTCTCAGCTGGAGCAGGATTCTATGGACATATGTGACCTTCCTCCAGAATAGTGTAGTTTTACATGGGTTAATTTGACCATATTAACTATAACAAAAACCTGCATGTGCTGAGGACAGCAGTCTTCATAACTGCAAGCTTCAACTATAAGACTTTCCTGGTAATCTGCTTTGCTGCATTAAACAGCTCTGGACCTGCATGGAAATTCAGGCTGGCCTAAGCTGGTCTTTTCAGAGGGTTTCTGCATAACATGAGCAGTTTGATGTGCTGTTAGAGAGCTTTGTAGTCTCACAGAAATCCAACATCCTCAGAAATCCCCGGAGAAAGTGTTTGAAAGCAGCAGTCAGAATATGCTCACATGTGTGATCCATCATGAGGCTTTTCCTCTTATCAAAATCAATACTCGGTTACTGTGGCACTGAGCTCTGGATGTGATGCTGATGCAGACGCATGAGGGTTGTACAGTCACAAAGTCAAATTTATTTACTGTCAAGTGATTGTTGAGTTCATATGGTCTGCAGATGAAAGACACGACATATCATGTGTTCCGACACATTTGCAAATAGTTTAAGTGTGTCTGTGTGTCTGTTTAAAAAGCATGTCTGATATATATATATATATATATATATATATATATATATTGT